TATTATTTTAAAAGGGAGTTTATGCCCAAGTTCTACTATATAATAAATTCTACTATAATATTGAAGAAACTTCCTTTTAAAAGTCCCACAAGTATAATATATAATATTCAAGATTGGGAAAAGTCTCAATCTTGAATATTATATATTATATTTGGGCCTAAACTCTCTTTTATAATATAGTAGAATTTTCAATAATGATCATTAGTTATTTTTAGAGAAGTTTCAGATGATGTTAATTTTAAAACTTAAAAAATAATTGTATTTTCTTTAAATATATTTGAAAAGTCTAGTATTAAAGCAAATATGAATGGTCACATTACAGTTGAACTCACAAAATGTGAATTACATGAAACTTTGGTGCACAATTTAAAAATTATCAAGAAATTGTGCTTTTAATTTTTATTCCTTTATAAATTGTTCAAGTATTTTATCAATTATTTTTCTGTCTTTTCTACAATAGAAAGAAAGAATGGCATTCTTATGGCTAATAAAAAAAAAATCAAAGAATTTAAATTATTTTTGTGAAGCTTGAGTTGTACGTACTCATAAGCGAAGACAACACTAATTGACAAAAATTATATACCAAAACTATATTATATAAGAAATAATGTTAATGTAAAACATATTATATCAATCCAATGAGATGTAACACAATTTCTCATTTTTTTAGGAAAAACTTCCATTATTCCCTGATAAGACTACGAAGTAGTCTCTCTGTTCATTTTTACTTGTTACTATTCGACTTGACACACCATTAAGAAAACAATTATTAATATAAGTATTTTATCATACTAGCCCTATTAATTGATGTTTAGCATTAGGCTTTGGCAAAAGATTTGAAGAAAATTGTATTTAATGCTAAGGCTAAAATATATAAAAATAATAATAATTGTCTTTTCTTAATATGTCAAAAGTGACAAGTAAAAGTGAACGAAGGGAGTATTACCATTAAAGAGTAATGTATTATCTGAAAGAAATATCTCTGCTAATGTTGTAGATATGGAGAAATGCATCTACATTATCAAATAATATTGAAACAACAAAAATTATTACCGATTTGACATAAAATAATACATAGATTTTCTCATAATTTAAATACAATTGTTAAATTGCCAACCAAACATAATATTAATGTTATACATTAATAATTTAATTCTTGTCTATTTACCAAACATCATATAAATTATTCAAAAATTAATACATAAATAACTTTCCTTTTATCGAGCTGTCAAACGATCCCAGTGTTATTTTTTTAGAATGACTTTAAATGGAATCCAAAATCTAAGGAAAAACTTAAGTGGGATGTAGTAGTTGGGGTGGCTTCTAGTATAAGAGAATTTTGCACAATTTTTCACATTCATTAATACACTTTAGAAAAAAACAATAAAGTATATGCAATTTTTAAAAAAAGATTTAAACAACAAAATGACTTAAAAACTATATAAAGAGAATTTAAATATTGCATATCTATTAAAGTTGTAGGAATATAATAATTTTAGGTCAAAAACATCACATATAGATGATTTTAGGTTTGAAGTTTTTTTTTTTTTAATAGGTTTGAAGTTTTTGGTTTTCTAGTTTTTCAATAAAAAAAATGAGAAAAAAAATGTAGAAGTAAATAAATTTTCACTTAATTTTAAAAGTCTTCATCGATTTGAGATTCACTACACATATATGTTGTGTATTTTCGCAAAAATGTGACTATATCTATGTAGTTGTATAGATAAATGATTTAGTGTGTTGAAAACTAGATTCGTAAAACCCTCGATTTGATAGATAGTAGACCCTATAATGCTTTATGAATTGAGAGAAAGCTTCAAAACATCTAACCCAAATTTCAAAGAATTTATAAAAGTAATTTGCGATGTCAAGCTTGACTTTAAAACTTAACATATTACATGATTCAAATACCTCACCACTATCCTTATTAGCATACTAAGCATTCTTATTCTTATCTCAAATATACGGATTAATTTAAATATTTCGAAATGAATGGAACATTATGTGTATAAACAAAGGAATTAAAAATAAGCAAAAATGTGAAGCTTCTAAAATTATTCTAGTCATAATTTTCTTCAAAACTAGATGGTACTCGCCCATGCTAGCATTGGCCCAACATCGTAAAAGTCGATATTATAAAAATATCATTACCTTTGTTTAGATATTAAAATGACTGAAGAAATAGATGCATCAACTTTGTCTTGGTATAAAATGATAGAGGGGATCTAATACATGCTTCATAATATTTATATTTTAACATTAAAAATATATAGTTGGAACTTGAAAAAGAATTCATAAGTAATTGTTAATAGAGGTAAGGTTTCCAAATTTTGAGATATCAGTATCAATTTATATCGAATTGATCCACATATAGTCTTCCGAACCACATTTTCTAAATGTACAAACAATGATAACTACTTCATAATATTTACAATCCACACTATATATGTATACTATTTATTAGGATGAAAATGTTTGCAGTAATGTGTGTTGTTTGCGGCTTCTAATTTTAGGAAAAGTATATATAGTAGCTACCGAAACCAATAGGATGATTAATGAGGTGACCATTAAATTACTACAGTTAAGACACGTAAGTTTGTATAGATAATTGAAATGTCAAAACTATCCTGAATTTGAATTGAAATATCAAGAAGCAGACATGTTGATACCAATTGTTAAATTCGTGCTTCTATAATAGTAGAAAGAAAACAAAATTTCAAACGTTTTTCGCGTTTAGGTTGAAGTATATATATATATATATATATATGTTTAATTATATAATAAGATAAATATAATATAATAATCACAAAAAATAAAGCGATTTAAATTTAAAACATAATTTTTTTTTAAAAATAATCTCTTTTTACAAGTTTTTTTTTTGCATATATTAACCTTACAGAATTACTTGATTATTTATGTGCAATTACTTGCAAAAAGTCGGCAAGAAAATTCTATCTTCTGACTAAATTATTTTTAATAAAAATATATTGCATTAAAATCCACATATATTCTATATGCGAATTAAAATATTGAGGAAATATTTACCTACGGAGATTTTTTCATCAAATTTGTTGGTAGAATAATTCGTAGAAAATTAGATGACCTGCAATTTTTTTAATATAATTCCCATATAAATTTTGAAGTAATGAATTTGATGAGTTAAATAGGTTTATGGTTAAGAAAATGAGTCTTTAATTTAGAGCATATTTGACATTACTGCTAAAAACTGTTTATTTTTAGAAATATTTTTTTGAAATGATTTTTTAGAAAAGTGTTTTTGAAAAAAAAAAAAAATTGTATTTGGAAAATTGCGTTTGGCTGATATTTAAAAAAACAAAAGGTTTTTGAGAGTCAAAATTATAAAAAAACAAAACTATTAATGTACTTCTAATATTAAAATTATTTTATAAAGAGAAACTATTTTGAATAACTATTATTAAAAAAATAATTAAATTTGTTTTTATTAAATTAAAATTTACATGGTTCAATCAATATTATACCTTTTTTGGGAGAGTGTGGCAAATACCGTTTGACTGAATTTTTTTTTATAAAAAAAGGCTTTTGAGAGTCAAATTATAAAAAAGGAAAATTATTAATGTACTTCTAATATTAAAATTATTTTATCGAGAAAAGCTATTTTGAATATCTATTATAAAAAGATTAATTAAGTTTTATTTTTATTAAATTAAAATTTACATGGTTCAATCAATATTATACCTTTTTTGGGAGACTGAAATCTTTAATTGCTTTTTTCCTAATCTTATAAAATTATTGTTGTTACACTTTTTCTAATTCTACAAAATAATATGTAAAATAATATAATATATAAAAAAATAATATATAAATGTAAAATAAATTATACAATTTATTATCTTAAAATAAAAATAAAATTATTAAATGAAATTTAACCGAACTTATGAAATATGTTAATTAATTGATAAAAAATATATTGGTAAATATGTATGCATGAAATGATATTTTAGTCTTTAGAAAAATAATTTTGGGTTTCTTCTTCTACTTTAAAAAAAAAACAGAAAATTTTAGCTTCTTTTCAACAACAGAAAAAATTGTTTCTGCTTCCATTTAAAAATAATTTTACTGATTTGCCAAACACTTAATTTTTCAATAAAAATATTTTTTTTTCAAAATAAATATTTCTGGCCTCCCAACAATAATGTCTCTTAATCACATAGCATGCCAACTAGGAGAGAAGAACATTTTTGAAGTATTTTTTAAAAATGAAAATATGTATAATTGAGTGTGTCTTAAAAGAAACAAAACTATATTTTACAGACAGTTTTTTTTTTAATTTTTCATTCATTGTCCGATATTCATATTGAAGCTCGACTAAATTTGAATTTGTACCGAAAATAGACAATTCCAAAATATGAGTGACTATAAAATATAAATAGCTCTTATCCTTTATAAGCTTAATTTTAATTTTATACTTTTTAAAAAAATTTACCTTATATAATTTTTTTACTTTAAAAGTGGTGATCCATTTTTTTTTTCTAGTTATCTATAAAAAGGGTACTCATTTTTTTTTCTTTCTTTTGTCCAAAGGAGTAGTCAATTACTACAACAACAATCTTTGTATAGTTGTGTGGTTGTGGTACAAATAAACCATCTTGAGATTCCATTGGAAGAGGTAAAAAAAAGAACTATTTCATTTTTTTAATAGTTGTTATCTTTGTTGTTGGGAGAATATTTACAATTATTACAGCAACATTAGAATTTCAAGATTTGGATGTTGCCTTCTTTTCCACTTACCATATTTTTGTCCAAATTTTTGAGGATTTATAAGCTGCTGTAATCAATCTTTTTTGACCCCCAAACAACAAAGGCTGCAACTTTCATACTTTCTTCATCTTTATCTTTATCTTGGCCAACATCCCATTTCAAAATTTCAGCTCAAAGTATGTATTTTCTTTCTATTTCTTTCCCTTTCTTGATTTTGGATTTTGTTCGGTATATTCGAATATGCTTCTTGTTTTGATATGTATGTGGGAAATTTTCCTTTTGGGGTTTTCTTGAAAACAGTAAATTTGGGATTTTGAATCTTATTAGTTTGAGATCTTTCTTTTTGAGGTTTTTATAGAAACAAGATAACCCCTTTTTTCTACATTTCTTGATTCTCAAAAGGGTCATTTTCTTGTTTCTATTTAGCCCCTTTTGGAGCTTATCTCTTATTTTTATCAAGAAAGTTTGTATTTTGATGCAACTGAATACTGATTATGGTTTGAAGTTTGTTTTGTTTCTGGATTATAGTTTCTGAAGTGATAGAAGTTAAGCTATAGTTTGCTTGCTGCATTTTGCTGGGATCTGTTGATGATTAACTGTAATAAGGTTTAGGTAGTGGATCTTTCTCTCTCTGTCACAGACACCCAGACAAATGTCTTTTGGTCAATGAATGATTCAACATTTCTTTGTTTTTTAACCAGTCTTACCTTCTTTAATCATTTCCTTAAAGTGTATGACTATAATAATTGACCACTTTAATTAAATGATGTTGTGCCTTGATTCTGTCCCCCTCCTCCTTAAACAAATAGCAGAACTGAATAAACAAACTTGTGTTTTTTGTTATTCCATTTCTGTTATCCTTATTGTCCCTTCCAAGATATACCTTCTAACTTTCCCCACTTGTAAAGGTCAAAAGTTCTCTTTTGAGAGCCTCTTTTGTTTAGCTTTCTTGCACTTAGATTATTGTAGTACTTTGCTGTAGTGACTGTTCTTTTTTTGGTATGCTTTCTTAAGCATTTTGTCGAGGCTTCTTCTCTCTCTCATTGTTTTCTTCTTTTTTTTCGAACTGCTTTTACTTGAGCCAAGGGTCTAGCGGAAACAACCTCTCTATCTCCTATGGTAGGGGTAAGGTCTGCGTAGACACTATCCTCCCCAGACTAGGTATGTTGTTGTTGGTGGTGGTGGAAAAAGCGATTACGATGGAAAGTTCCTTCAGGAATAAAATCCATCACTCATTCCATTGTCAAGCTGCAAGTTGGGTGTCTTTTTATGGTGCAGTTAGTCAAGTTGTGTTGGAATATCAATTTTATGATTATTTTTTTTTGAAATTGGTCTTGGAACTCTGTGAGTGCACGAAATGAATGTAAAGATTCGTATTTTATGTAAGGAACTCAGATGTCTTACGGATGTTTTAATCATTGTGCAGTAAAAGTTCTTTAAGAAGGATTACGCCTGCACTTTTTAAAGGACTGTGCAAGTATCTCAGTAATGAATCAGGCAAAAATCAAGCGCAGAGTTGGTAAATATGAAATGGGAAGGACAATTGGTGAGGGAACATTTGCTAAAGTTAAATTTGCGAGGAATTCGGAGACAGGAGAACCTGTAGCAATCAAAATTCTTGATAAGGATAAGGTCCTTAAGCACAAAATGGCTGAGCAGGTCAATCTTCAAAATCTCCATTTGCTATGATTTCTGGAACTTTCATATATTTTCTATTGTCTGGACTCTGGTGTTACGCTTACGAATTATTTTGGTAACGTAGATTACAGAAAAGCTGTGTGAATTATGTCTCTTCGACATCTTACATGGTTGTTGAGTTGTGCATTTCTTATTGTTGTACGGTTTTAAGTTTCTTGTATGTTGTTTTTGTTTTGTTGATAACTTCTTATAACTCTTGTTCATAAATTGACAGATAAAGCGGGAGATAGCTACAATGAAGTTAATCAGGCATCCACATGTCGTTCAGTTATACGAGGTTTGTCCTCTCTCCATGTCAATGTGTATGTACTTGTGTGTTGTGTGTGACTGTAAATTCCGGTGATTGTGGTTTTCTGTATGCCTTTGTGATCATATGGATGTGTATACTGATCGTACAGCGCTGATATATGTACCACCAACCTGTAGGTTAAATAGTAAGCAACCCGTTGATTTGCATTTGGTTATGCATCATGGGTTGCCAGCAGGTATCTCCATTCTAGAAATGATGCATTGAAGATCTCACTTCAAATCTTCACCTCAACAATCTTTCCGAAAGACGTCTTTAATTCACACTACCAAAGGGATAATTTGATCAGCGCTGCCTAGCGCTAAATAAAAGCTTAAGCATTCTGCAGAGAATTCATAACTTACCTTAGGACAAGACAAAGTCTATTGTACAGAACAAACTAATTGATTTATTAGTACCGTTAGCTAGAATCAATGTGGTCTCACTCAGTTTTTCATGTGTCCTTTCCAAATTGAGCAGATTCAACTTCATTCAAGGTGTTTGGAGCAAAGATTAAATGTATTCTGTAGCCGAGCTTCTCCTGTGCCTATCTCGTTGAACAAACATTTTTGCTTATGCTAGATTTTAGTACCTACCTTTTTAAAGCTTTTGTTGTATTTTGATGGTTCCTTGCCTTACATATTACTAATAATTTGTTCTGCTTATTATTTGTTCAGTTATTTATTCTATAGATCTAGTCTTATAATTAAAATTCCAGCAGCACATCAGCATTTAACCTACTGAAGTTGGTGAGAGTAAAGGCAGATTCTGGCCTTTTAACATAACCCTATATTGACATGCAGATATTTTGCTGGTATCCATAAACTGCAGTGGAATTGGCTAATATATTGGAGTAGTTAGTTAATCTTCTTGATCTACTCATGGTACTTCCCAAATTTTTGAGAGTTAAACTCTGTTTGAGATGCATCATCAAAATCTTGAAAAATCAAAGAACTAGAAAAGATTAAGTTAAAATTTCTGGAATTGCGAGTGCCCAATTTGGGGATAGTAAATGTTCCGAATTTTTCTAAAGACCTTTTGGGATGTCATACACTAAATGCTTGCCTAGTACATTATATCTGTTATCGAACCACTTATGTTTTGAATATTTTGTATGTTGGAGTTTTAACTTATATTTGCGATAACCTACTATAGATAAGATGTGATTGTGGATTATGGTAATGGCCAGGGTTCATATGCTACACTTCTGAATCCATGTTCTTCTCGTCTGTCCGCAGGTGTTGGCTAGCAAGACAAAGATATTCATTGTTCTGGAGTTCGTTACAGGTGGAGAGCTCTTTGACAAAATTGTAAGGATGATTCTTCCTTTCTTCTAGTTTATTCGGTTCCCCTACCTTAGGAGATAAAGAATTTGACCAAAGAGCACGAACTTGTACCTCATTGATTGCAAACTTAGGTTTCATGTGTCCTTCCGAAGCTATTCAAACCTATTTGCTACTAACATGTTTTTGGACGACTTAGCATGTCATTAAGATGTTTATCTGTTTTATTGGCATACAGGTAAATCATGGACGGATGCATGAAAAAGAAGCAAGGAAATATTTTCAGCAGCTTATTAATGCTGTTGATTACTGTCATAGCAGGGGAGTCTACCATAGAGATTTAAAGGTGGCGCCGTGCTACTTTTGCAGCCTTTTAGTTGTTAATTTCTGTTCTATTTTGCCTTAAAGCTCCCGGCTTTCTCTTACCTTTATTTTGGTATGCTTTTTCATTATGCAGCCTGAGAATTTACTGTTGGATGCCTCAGGAAACCTCAAGGTTTCTGATTTTGGATTGAGTGCTCTGTCCCAGCAAGTCAGGGTAACTGTCTGATTATGCATATGCATTCTCAAACTCTTTACATATGTCTCCAATGTTTGATATGACTTTTGCTTTGTTGCTGTCAAAATTAATGCAGTGAATCTTCAATTGTGTAACCTACTAGTAGATTTTTTTTATTTTTTATTTTTTGATAACCGAGAAATCCGTCTGTGACCCGCCCTTTGGACCAATCACAGCCTTCTAAACTCGGTGGATAATGGGCCCGCCCCTCTACCCTTCTCCACTTAAATACCGGGCTTCGCTTTGCATGGTGTGGGGCTTGAACCTGTGACCTAAGCCACAAATCCTCCACCTTTTGCCACTTGAGCTAGGCCTTGGGGGCAAACCTACTAGTAGATTTGTGTATCAATGTGTAATGTCTCAAGTCTTAACATCCTTTACTGATTGCCTTGAGTACATTTTCTTGTTTGAGAAATGTGGTAGTGATAACTCCCCCCCCCCCCCCCCTGCTGAAACTACAGATCTCCATGGAAATCCCCATATCAGAGACAAACTAGTGGGGGAGTTTTTAAACACACAAATCGGATAATTGTCACTTTAGAAACAAGCCAGTATAATTTTTACTGAAATCCATTTGTGCTTCTTCCTTTTGTAAACTAGTTTAAACATCATTTGGAATTGATTCAATCTTATTATTAGAATATTCAGATTCAACTGAATATACTGTTTTTCAGTTTGGTAAACTTTGTGGAAGCAACTATGCGTGGGGCTTGGGACAATGTCATTAAATTTGTGATTGACTGCTGATTAGTTATTTGCTTTAAACTGATCTGAAAATTATTTGACAATGACTTCCTTTTTCCGTTTTAGCTAGAGAACTCATGCTAGTTTCAAGCAGCAGTAATCCTGCAATATATTTCTTTCACTTAGGTGATAGTTAACATTCTTTTCGCAATCAGATATATTTCTTACTCTAGTGCAATTTTCCAGGATGATGGCTTACTCCACACCACATGTGGAACTCCCAACTATGTTGCTCCTGAGGTATGATGAAATTCGTTTCAACAACTTCTTCTTTTTGTTCATTTCTCACAGAGAAAAAATAAGGTCTCCCTGTCATGTGCACTCTTTTTATCTTATTTTTCTCTTGGTTTTAAAAAATGAGATTCATTTCTCTTAGGTACTCAATGATCATGGATATGATGGTACAACCGCGGATCTGTGGTCGTGCGGAGTCATACTCTTTGTATTGCTTGCAGGTTACTTGCCTTTTGATGACTCCAATCTTATGAACCTGTATAAAAAAGTGAGCATTCTTCCAAATTCATTATGGAATCAATCTGCTTTTGTTTTTCCTATTACTTTCATGATGTCATCACGGTCTTTGCAGATCTCTGTTGCTGAATTTACATGTCCTCCTTGGATGTCTTTTGGTGCTATGAAGTTAATTACTCGCATCTTGGATCCGAACCCTATGACAGTAAGCATACTGGATTTCTGAATACAATTGCGTCATTTTAGCTTGCAACTAAATATACATCTTTTCTCTTATTTTATTATTGCACGTGTTTACTATGCAGCGTATCACCATCCCAGAAATTCTGGAGGACGAGTGGTTCAAGAAAGATTATAAATCTCCCATTTTTAATGAGAAAGGAGATGCCAACCTGGATGATGTTGAAGCTGTCTTCAAGGATTCTGAAGTGAGCGCACTGAAATGTTGAACAAGTTTTGCATTGAATTCAGAGAAAAGAATTGTTGTATAAAGTCATCCTCATGTGGTTCTCTTTTCCTTGACACAACAACAGGAACATCATGTAACAGAGAAAAAGGAAGAGCAGCCAACTCCCATGAATGCATTCGAGTTGATTTCAATGTCAAAAGGACTCAACCTTGGGAATCTCTTCGATGAACAGGTTACCGACGATGAACTTCCATTTTTATATGTTACTTTTGTTGCATGTTTTGGAACTTCTGTTTGATTTGGCATGGTGTTTGTGCCTTGAATTACGTCGTGTATAATTATACTTCTCAGTAGGACATGCTTTAATGAAGTTCATGTGAATGTCAAAAAACTTAATGCTCACTTGGTAATCATTGGATAATTCTTTGTTCATTCCCAAACCCTCTACAGCCTACTCTAATATCAATCCCCAAAACTTACCAATGGGAAAGAAGTAAAGAATCTATGATGTGTAGTAAGACTAGTTTCTTTGCATTTACATAAAATAATAGATGTCTTCTAGCAGACATGAGCCTGAATGCCCTGAGTTGAGCTAACCTGCTAAATTCATCAAGTTTAGCTGTTAAATAACCGCTAGATGCTTCAAAACGCTGCGGCAATATTGCATGCATACACAAACTAACTTCCATCTCTTTCTCCTGTGTGTTGAATTCCGTTATCCATTTTGCAGAAGGCTTGTAAATTATTATTCAGAATTATGAGTGAGGATGCAAATACACTAATTAAAAAACGAAAAACTGTAAAAGGACTAATTACTTGGTCCCTGTCTGAATAAAACTGACCTTTCTTTGTTACTCTACTCAAAAAACTTGGTCTCTTTTCCCGAATGACCATTTTTCTCTCCAACAATTCAAATCAATATAAATTGGTATTCCACCTTGTCGGAAACATTGATGATTTGTGTATTGCTATAATCTTACTTCATTGACAGATGTTTTGATTCCAACATTCACAGGGATTTAAGAGAGAAACAAGGTTCACATCTAAATGCTCCGCCAATGAAATTATCAGTAAGATTGAAGAAGCTGCGAAGCCCCTCGGTTTTGATGTTCACAAAAAGAACTACAAGGTGGTGATGTATTTCAAGTATGCATTTCAATTGACATGTAGATTCCTAATAAAGTAAATTAATTGGCATGCTACTCTTTTACTTCAGATGAGACTTGAAAATGTTAAAGCTGGAAGAAAAGGGAACCTTAATGTTGCCACTGAGGTATGTTCAATGTGCATAGTTAGTCATCTACAATTATCTTATTTTACTATTACCGTATTCTGTGTTGAGAATTGCCATAAGTACTTTGGAATTTGAATCTCTTATCATCATAGGCTGAACACTGTTTGGTCTTGAATGTAGGTATTTCAAGTTGCCCCTTCTCTTCATATGGTTGAAGTGCGGAAGGCAAAAGGAGATACTTTGGAATTCCACAAGGTACCATATTCAGCTAACTGCTGAAAAAGTTATCTAAATCACTATTAGTAGTTTTTGATAGGCAAAAGCCTTGCACAATCCACAAGCTAATTGCTCGTGAATGAGCAACATAATATTGAAGTTAATGTTTGCCACAAGATAGCAACAAAGAATTAAGAGGTTGTATGTATGCATGTTTTAAGATTAGGGAGAGAAGTTCAAGTCACTCCTTGGAAATGACCATAACATTACTACTCTTTGTCCCTCAAAACATAGATGGTTTGATCTTACTTACTGGGTCCACTTTAGAGCCTTGGAACGGTGATATATTTTGTAGTCTTCCTCGGCGTTTGTTTCCTGATATCAGCTGGTAACCTCTATGTCATAATGGACAACATGACTTTTCTGTGTCTGTAATAGGAATTAAAACCTGTGTGCCTCATATTGGAGAGACAACTCACCAGATAAAAGAAGATCATGCTTGTGTGAGGGAATGGAAGAACTAATGGATGTTTAGTTAGCTAAATAAAGATCATGCTTGTGTCATTACTATCTGCTTACTTATTTTCTACTTCATAAATTCAAAAGGCATAGGTTTTTGCTTTGTTTTGTATACCGGAAATGCATTAGTACCTCGTTAAATTTTAGATCCTATTAGTTTTTGTGACCTCTTCGAGCTAACAATCAATCCTGTTGTACATCCTTGATGCAGTTTTACAAGAATCTTTCGACTAGTCTAGAGGATGTAGTGTGGAAAACTGAAGAGGACATGCAAGATAGGTAGTATTACTACCATGAACTGCAATTGCATAAGCTTTTGCTGGTGCTATAATCTGTGTAAAAAAACTTTGCAACTTCTTTCTTTCCCTTTTTTTTGCTATTTGTTCTGTTCTTTGTAGTGGGACTTTTTTCTCCCATGAGCTAATGGCCAACTGTTTCATTTCATCATGGAGTAGGACTTTTGTTCCTATTTGATTTGCAGTTTGTATAACTGGTATACACTTTTGAGAAATGTATACAACTTTTCAGCTCCCTCAAGAAAAAAAAACATCCACTAAGGAGAATTATCCTTTTCCTTGTCTCATTTACAGTTGAAATAATTGCCACTTATATGCTAGTTTTAATTTTAATAATTGCCATGTCTGAATGAAGGTGACACCATAAGAAGGTCACCCATATATATATATATAATCCTAACTCAGAATAATGTACACTTTATCAGATTCAGGAATTCTTATATGGGAAAATTGTATAAAATAGCAAACTATTAATTCAAATTAAATGTTACAATCACAGTTTGATTTAATTGTAATCTGTAGCAAACTGTTGCCATTTCGCCTCTCCTTGAATTTCTCGCTTGCCACTCTCGTTTCTCGCTGGGCAGTCTCTCCTCGCCTCTCTCACTTATACAAATACAAATAGTATAAAATAGCATTTGTGTTTGTATAAAACGAGAGAAAATTGTATATATATATATATATATATATATTTGTTCCCCTCTCTCAGATCTTGCTCGCTTCTCTCACCTATACAAACACAAATGTATAAGTTGCGTTTCTGTTTGTATAAAGCGAGAGAAAATTGTATATACAAATACAAATACATATATTTTCGTTCTATACACTTATGATTATACAAATACAGATTTTCCCCTGCCTAGTTTTCTTTTGTCTTTCTCTCTTTCTCGCTTTATACAAACACAGATTATACAATTGATTCTTTTGTATATGTATACCAAAAATAGATTATACAATTGCTTCTTTTGTATATGTATAGCGAAATATACATATTAATAGTCATAGCAAACATAAAGTTTGTTATGGAACGCAATTATGCAAACTATAGTTATAGCATACAAATATGATTTTTATGTTTGTTATATGTGAAAGTTGCTCTTCTTAATTAGATACATGTGTATATTTTGTCATATACATGTATACCTAAACAAATACATATTTATTTTGACCACCGTCTCTCCTCATCTCTCATGGCTAGAGACCAGCCCTACCTCGTTGCTCGTCTCCTCACCACCATGAAACCACCGCCTTCGGCGAATGATTCGCACCACCATGAATCTATTAAAAATAGACTTAAAAAATATGTTGAACTCACGGCTTTAGCTTCGAGATATAACCCACTTGATAAAGTTTTTTATCACAAAATTAGAAAGAAAAGGTTCTTATTTCACCCAATAATGGTGGTGTTGTACCTCTATCAACAATACTTTTGGTTGAAAAATCTTTAGCAATAGTAAGTTAAGAAAAATCAAAATCAATGAACTTTGATCGAAACGGATCGTTTGAGTGGACTGATTTGAAATGGAGTAAATTATGAAAATAATTAAGTGGTTAAAGCTTTATTTTAAATTAATTTTAAGAAATGATATATCTCAATGTATCTAACTCTAACTTTGTACATAATTATTAAATAATAAATAGTACTATATAATTATTAAAAACTATAAACGACATCAGTAGATATAATAATATGTTTAATTATATAATTTTTCCATAAAATTGACCACTCTGGCAAGATTTGTAGGCAAATTTTCACCTCACCATTTCAACTTAAAAACTTATAATATATGAAATCACATAAATCTACATAAGGTATAATAATATTGGTGTGAAATAAATTTAAATAAAAATTGTTGATAGAAAATGTAAACCATGAGGGAGCCCACTTTCTGTGTTTTCAAAACTTTATGAACCGCCAAAGCAGTTTTCAAACCAAGTTGTCTTCCAAAATTCTCCACTTTTTATTGTACACGGAATACGGAATGAGATAAGTAAGAATATTATATAAGTTAAGATATTTTTTAAGATTATTCACCTTAAATAATTTGAAATTAGTTAATGTCTCAAATCAAACGAGTAATAAAGTTAATTTTAAATTTTATTTAAAAAATTATTATTCTTATGTCACGTACCAAACAATATCGGATAAACTATTGTCAAAATTGGACAACACCAATCAACTGAAGGAACTAGAAATGTCCCGGTTCAATTGCTCTTGGCCCCGGTCAACGTTTGATTCTAATACCTATTATCAATAGCCACCACTCCACCCCACATTAGGGATGGCAATGGGGCGGGGTGGGGTGGGGCGGTTGTGCGGGGGGGCAGGTCTAAGTCTATGTGGGGCAGGGCGGGTTTAGCCTTATGCGGGAAAGGGTGGGCGGAGCGAGTTGAAATAATTTTTTTAAGAAATTAAGCGGGGTGGGGCAGGTGGCGGGTTGAAATATTTTTCTCTCACTTTTCTAATTTAATCTCTCTACTTTCATCTTAGATTGAAAGAGATGAAGCTCTTTAACTGTTTAGTTTGTTACCGTCTTTCACTCTTTCTCTAAGGTTTTAAAAAAAGTACCATTTTATAATCAAATTTTGCAATGGGTTTTAGTTCAGAAAATTCAATTGAAATTATTTATAAACAAAATTGAATTTATTTTTGAGACAAAGCCACCTGGAGGTGTAGAAAGTAGAAACTGTTTAAAAATTAAATAAAATGTTAAATTTGTGTACTGTTTTAACAAATAACAGAATAAAGAAAAGAAAAATAAATATATAACATAAGTGGGGCAGGGTGTTGCAAAAAGGAGAGTGGATTGAAGAAGAAGAAAAAAAAAAGTTTATGACGGGTGACTTCGAAGAAAAAAAAAGAATGGATGTGGTGGGTAATTTTGTTGAAGAAGAAGAGAAGAAAGTTTAGGGTGGGAAGAGTGGTGAAGAAGAAGAGAAATTGGGGTGGGGTGGGAGAGGGTTAATGAAATTTTATTTTATTTTTAATTAAAAATATATTGTTTTCCAAAAAAATATATATTTTTAAATAGAAAATAATGTAGTGACGCATTTGGAAATGAGTGCATTTACACATTTTTCCAACTCAGCAATATTTATGTCACATAGGTTTAGTCAATGGTTGAGTTTTAAATATTGTGTTTTAATAAGTTTAAGAGTCTAGTTGACAAAGTATAAAGTAAAAGGTTTCAGAATACAAACTCATACAAGTATAAGGGTCTATCAGACCATTTCGCCAAAGTTTTAATCAACGAAACATGATAAAATTGAAAAATATTTTCATGCATGTCAAACCTTTATGAGGTAGGGTCCGAAGAAAGAAAGATATAGACAGATCGTTCCCTACCTTTGTGAGGCAAAGAGATAAAGTAGGGTCAGAAGAAAGTAAGATATAAGCATATTGTTCTCTCTACCCTTGTGAGGCAGAGAGGCCAGTACCAATGGAATACTAGTAATTTTTAGCTATACATTTAACATATGTACATTGAATATATTACACTCAAGCACTATAGTACTTCCTCCTCTTTATCCTCACCACTAAAATAAGAAGGGAGGGAAACAACAAACAAATAAAAAAGAAAGAGACAACATATATATATCTTCCTTATAATATGGTAGAATGTGTTTGTTACATCTTATCTTGAATGTGTCACATATCTCTTTTGAGGATGACATATCTTGTCATTTGGTGCATTATAATTTGCTTGTGGTGGTGAAGTCCTAGAACTGTCCTTTGGTGTTGGCAAAAGCTCTAATGTGGCTAACACCTCATCCATTGTTGGTCTAAGTTTTGGATCTACATGGAGGCATCGTAAGGCGAGGGCCGCTGCAGCTTGTGCACCTTTCTTGGAGTACTGCCCTCCCAACCTTGTATCCATGATTCTCAGTACTCGTCTGCTGTCGCTTAGGAAAGGTCTTGCCCATTCTACCAACGTTTCCTCCGCGCCCCCTGGATTCTCCTCACCTGTAGCTCGTTTTCCCGATAGCAACTCCAATAGAACAACACCGAAACTATAAACATCGTTCTTTGGAGTCAAATGACCTGTTACGAATGATTGAGGGTTGATTTGAGATAAGATATACAAGTTCCAGACTGTGTTCAGCATGGCTAAAAGTCCGAATCATGGTAATCACAAGGCGAATAGTTGACAAACGGATTGGAATATACCTGTTGCGACATATTCTGGTGCAGCATAACCCCGAGTTCCTATTACCCTAGTTGAAACATGAGTTCTATCTCCATCAGGACCATCTCGTGCGAGGCCAAAGTCTGACAGTTTTGCATTAAACTCCTGCAGAAGTTCAATGAAAAGGTTTATTTGTGACCTTAACACTGGTTGTATGATTGAGAGCAACAGTTTGTTTATGCTAATCAATATCTCAGACTTAGAGATTGTACCGAATCAAGTAGAATGTTGGAAGCTTTGAGGTCCCGGTAGATCACATTAGCATCCAGACTATGTAAAAAGGATAACCCTCGTGCAACATCAACTGCAGTACGCATCCGTTTACCCCAAGTCATAAGCTGAACTCCTTCTGCACAACAATTGAAACATCATTAGTCTTGATCAGCAACTTTCTGAAAAAACATATAATGCACTAATTTCAAATGCAACATACTATTTTCCACAAGAAACAATAGAATTATAATCGACGAGCAGAAATGCTTAGAAATAGATTTTTAACTCCAGCACTAGATTGAGTAAACTTTGTTTGTACAAACATTTGGTGAAATGAACAGCTTCCTTCAGAAGCTCAAACAAAAGATCATTCAATTGCATCAACAATTATCTTACTGAAAGCTAATACCACAATTTTGGAATATTAGATTATCGATGCTTGAGAAAAATGTCCTGCACCACTACACTAATAAAGTGTACCAAATCCTACCTAGGTGACAGGAACAATGAAGAATTATAGGAATTCTGCAAATGAAGAGATTGACTCACTTCTGAATAGATGATTTTCCAAGCTTCCTTTGGTCATAAACTCGTATACTAGAAGCCGGTTATCAGATTCTACGCAATATCCAATCAACGTCACAAGATTTTTGTGGTGAAGCTGCCCTAAGTAGTTAACCTCTGCCTGCAGGTTTGATGAGGGACACAAAGTTATTACTTAGAACAAGTAAAGATATATTTAACATTTTCCGAAGGATTATGATGAACATACAAGCCATTCTCTGTGGCCCTGGCAGCTTTCTGACTTAAGTTTCTTGACAGCCACTACCATCCCAGTTCCTGATTTGCAGGGAGCAAGTGTATTTTCATCTAGCCA